AAGTTCAATAAAAAAAAAATAAAAAAAAGCTTAGAAGTATAATATTATTATTCATATGTACACACAAATTTAGTTATTTTATAATAATATAAATATAAAATAGTCCATATTATGTTTGTTTAAATTCACAATCTTGAATATTTCACTATTTAAATATCCAATTCGTGAAAATATTGATTTTACTAAGTGGATACTACATACATATGTATACTGATTTAATATTATTCAACTTACTACAACCTACTAATAAACTTTACTTTAAACTATATAAGTAATAGCTATAATATATTTTATACACAATGAGTGTAATTTTCGATCTCAAACTACCATCAATTAGGTCCATACGTCAATACTATATTCCATAGCTGATTATAAAATAATATAAATTAAGTACTAACAAAAAAACTGACTTTTATTATTTTATCCTTTTAGTACACAATTTTTCAATAATGTATATTAAATGTGTATAAATGTTATTGCAATCCATATTTAGATATGATACTATAGAATTTTAATTAAAATTAATTTTCATGTACTAATGGCTTCTTTTTAGGACATTTTTTAATTCCTCCTACCAACAGGTACCCACTGGTTCCCTGTAATAAATATGAATATTTTTTTATTGTCAAGCTATAATATAACTACTTATTATAAGAATATAATAATATACAATAAATCATCGTATTTTAAATGTGTTATTTTTCGCAATACGTGTGATTTAAACATTTTTAATTTATCAGTTTTGTTCAAATTATGCGAGTACAATTCATATAATCACGCGCTTTATTTTACCACAATAATAATATTAATAGATATCACGCCACAATGCCCCACCTTCATCGTCCAACTCGAATGTTTGTATAAAAAGACGTCCAGCTCCTCGATTCCGGCATAACACATTTTTTGTGCAAATCTATTCTTTGGTGAGTACCTACTTACAAAACAATAATAATTTATAATATAATTTAATTTATTCGTTTAATCGTAATATCATCACACAACGTTGAAAACTTAACCGTTTTATATTATTATTTATTTATTTTTTTTTTTTGTTGTTTTTAGTTTTTACTCTATTTTAATCCACGAAAACCAACCAAAACCAAAAATGGGCGCTGAAAAAGTATCCATGAACATCGTTGTCGTTGGACAAGTCCAATCTGCTAAGGCCATCAAGACCGTCTCCAAGGCCGCCCCAGCCACCAGCCAATTGATGGTGAGTATTTGTAACTAAGCATACTCATTATAAAACGTATAATACAGTATTAAATACATACTTGGTAGTTAGATAAATATTAATTATAAAGTTACTTTTATTTGATTCATTCTAATTTATTTTCAATGTATACGATTGTTAGGTTTTTTCTGTATGGCATTATTTTACAATCAAGTTTATATCATAAATTGTTCAAATTCAAACAAATTGTAAATTCAATAACTAATATTTATTTTATTCTCCAGTAGATATATCTGTATAGTTAAATACAATATTTAAATTTATTATTATTAATTGTTATACCCTCTAATAACATCTGATTATTTATTTTTTATCCCAACTAAATATAAACAAAGCAATAATTAATTAAATTATTATGAAACGAGACAAAAAATTATAAAATTTTATTTTTTTTACTCTCAGTTCAACGTAAAAAAAAAATATTTGATGAATCGACAATAAAAAATTACTAAAATAATCAATTATTTTCAATTAAGATATTGTAAGAAACTGTAAAAAAATTTGAAACACTCTCAAAAATTCGTTTAAGAATAATATTTTATAATAATAATAAAATATATGTAGTTAAAGTCTTGAAATAAAATCTCTAATTAATTTTAACTTCGAAGTTTGTATTGTAAGTTGAACATTTATACTTATTACAATACCTTTACTTATTTATTTTTTATTTTTCAGAACTGTTAATTCGCCATGTAATTCATACGTCACAAACTCAAAAATGCTATAGTCCAAATATTACAATAATATGTAATTATACCAAAATGTATGTAAATGAATAATATGTACATCACAAAATAAATCAGTTTTCTCCACTATTTGACTATTATTTTATTTTTTGTGCCTATCAAGACATTTGAAAATAATTTTCTTTTCATAAAATAAAATAATACACTATAGTTTATATGTATTGTTACATATTTTAAATTATATATGAAGTACATAATATGACTATATATATAAATATACCTATATATTAACTTTAAAAATATAAAATAATTTTTAATCAAAATAGCATACTATTATCAAATTGTATATCTGAATCATAATATTGATTATGGATGTAAACTTTTATTTTGAGTTTATAAAAGGTAAATAAAATTATAAATAATATTTATATAATTATAAATTACATCATACATCGTATCAAAATCTATAACTACGTAAAACATTTTTATTTACAAAAAAAAAAATAATAATATTTTACAATTACAACACAGCAATAATAATCTAATAAATAGGTGATACGTTTATTATAAAACAATATTGGAAATTTTTAAAATGCATATATTTGATTATTTTAATCAAATTTTAATTTACAATACCAATAGGTAAAATGTATTTTGTTAAGTAAGAAAAAAAATTATATAATATTATTCATTATTGTTACAAATCAATTAAAAATATACCTACATATTCATAAAAGTTTAAAGCAATTATAACACCTCCTCAAAAGAGTTTATAACTGTGCTTTAGGAGAAAGAATCTAATTAGAATAAATAAATTAATTAGTTATATTACAATATTTTAGCTTTTAATCATATTATTAATTTATAATAACAGTTAACGTAAAAATTATTTCAATAAAATCGTCGTAAGAGAAATTATTATTGAAAAAACATAAATAATATATTTTTGAACATTTTTAAACTAGGTATTGATATTATGAGTATTTATTGTATTTTTAATGCGAAATTGAATGAACTAATATTTAAGGCTTTGTTGCTTAAATACTATATTAATTTTAAGGACGATGGCATTAGTGTTAACATAATAGTAAGTATTGTAATTATAAAATGGAATATCAATAAATATTTTCATATTCTATAACAATAAACAATTATTTTTTCCATAAAATAATTGAAAATTGAATATCATTAATCTATTGTGTAAATCAACCGTAGTAAATAAAATCGGTTTATTGAAAATAGATTTGAGTAGCGAATTTAAAATGATTTTGAGGTTCCGAAAGTGTGTAGATATGTTCTCCCCGTTGAGGAATACTATAGAAAAAATAGATTGAATTCGTACAATGTAAATTAGTTTTAATAATATTATTAATTTAAAATATATGAAAAAGATTTATAAATTTAATACAATTCATTTTTACTTTTTGTATAATGTTTACTACAGGTAGTTATTGTTTCTTTTACAATCATTACATTATTTTAAATGTTTAATTCACATTATAGGCTGTTTTTATTATTACAATAATAATGTTATCATTCTACAATAAATAAAAAACAGTATTATATTTTATTATTCTAACAACCACAACATTCTTAAATATTAATAGTAGATTTGTTATAAATTAATATTTTTTATCGTAGTAGGTACGTTTTAAATTAACTTAATATTTGTTTTTTGGAATCATAGAAATAAAAATAATTTGAATAAAATTATATGTATAAAATACCTGAGTCACTTTATTAACTAATAAATAATCTAAGAGGTAATCAAATTATTTAAATAATATTTATTATAGCTGATTTCTTTATTTTTATTAGTACTGTTGTGAATATTCTAAGTTTATAATAGCTCGAGATAAGCTATTATTTTTTTCTAGTGAACGTTGATAAATTTAACAATATCAATTTTATCTTGATTTATAATTCAAATATTTTTCGATTGTTTTAAACTTAAATTGTCATCAATATAATTTTTCTATAAATAGAAAGTAATAAAAACCAATAAATATCTACTTAAAAAACTCATTATTGATTGATATTTTAGAACGACTAATGACTATAATAATTACAAGAAACAAAGGTTTATCTAAAAATTTGAAATTTATTTCTATTAGGAAGTATCTACACTCTATAATTACATATATCAAAATATTAATTTTGTATTTTTCATATTTTTAAGTGCATGTTTCTGCATATTTTTTAATTCTTAGTGTATTGAATTGAACTCTCTGGCAATAATGTCAATAGTGACGATTAAAATTCAATAAATTAATATGTGTTAATTTAATAAAGTATAGTAGAATAGACAATTTAGGATTATCTGTGTTTTCAAAATTTTTATAGACGATAGTATACCTATTTAGTTAAATTAATTTCGGTCAAAATGCAATTGTGCAATACGTCAAACCTATGATTACGAAAAAAAAAAAAAAATTAAAAACGTAAAAATTAATTTAATTGTTTTAATCAAAACGTTTGATACGGGTAGGCTGTAGGCGCAATCGTTTCAAAGGCCAAAATTTAAGTCAATACTAACTCCTTGAATAATGTACCCTATAAATATTTAACGACATACAATTTATGTATAGTATATGGTCGTAAATTATATACACGCACACCGATCGATTACTGTAATATAAATATATAAACATTGTCCAATTCAAGTATAGAAAATTACTATGCAATATAATATTTTATACGAAAATACACATATTGATATAATTGTATAGATATAGTATCTATATATACGGCACACCGTGGACAACACATTTAGGTACGCCCCCACATCACTTTAACGTTATACCTGTGTAAAGGCCTTTGGAAATATTGTTGCCGAACGATAGCACTGACTCAAAAAAGAACATCATTATCGTCAATCCATTTTACGGGTGCACGAAATTGTGTACCTATTACACAGAATTGTGTTGGCGTTTGACTGAGTCTAATTTATTTATAACACCCTGCTGCTTTAGCAATTGTTGCAGTGATCTTTGGTGCATGTAATCGTGTTGAGACCACGTATACTCCGGTGAACACAATATTATTAGCGTCGACTCGTTTGAGTTTTTTTCGGGCGTAAAATGAAAATCGATAAGCGCGCTGACGATGTCAACGACGACGTCTGTTACGGGTACATGCGTTTGACACACACATTGGCAGTATGCTGTGGATTACCCATCACTCGCAGGCGAACCGACGGTGTCGGCGAACACTACGATGGAGACTCGGACGAAGTACGAGGTATAAAATATTATGCTCAGTCACAGCAGTAGTTATCGTAAAATTATTTTTGGTATTTTTATAATATTTAACAATGTAAAATTTCTGCACGACCGATATTGACGAATGTGATCGCGATTTACGCCTTTGCAGTTCCCGAATAGTAGACAAAATTATTAGAGATGGACAATGAGTGAAATGAGGATCGTTACACTAGAGACTTTGGCTACTTGTCTTTAGAGAATCGTGATATTAATTACTAAGATACCTGATACCTTATATTATATACGAAGTACCGAGTATTGGAAATTATTTGCGATTCTATAGATTAGAATGTTTTAATCGTTAGACTGCAAAATTTTGAAAGTTTTTTTTTTATTTTTATAATAGTTATAAATTATAAAAATATAATAAAACATTAATTAATTATTATAAATGTATAATCAAATACAATGTTATTTACCTAATTTATCATAAACAATTAAAATTGCAAAATAGATCATCATTGAAGCAAAAATTGAATTGGAGAAGTATATACCATAAACAATTTTTGAAGAACACAGTGTGTCGTGTTTAATTAAATATTGAAAACCACCTAGTTAAATAGTATAGACACTCGATAGTTAAATTAATTTCACCATATACTTAAAATATGTAAAATAATATTTATACTTATAAGAAAATCTGGTTTATAATAATTTAAATAAATAACATTGAAACCTATAATCACAAGTAAGTAATAATAAAAAGATAAATTATATTTTATTTTATTATTTCAACAAATATGTAATTATTTTAATATAATAATAATAACCAACGGTTTTTTAATTTTTTTAAATAATTAGTACGCTCACCCAAATTCAAAGGTGTAAGCTAAAATAAAAGATATTATCATAAATAAGAAATAAAAAATATTTTTGAGGTGAGGCCTGCAGTTCCTCATAGTGTAGCCCGAGTAACTCTAAATGAACTGGGACGCACTAGAGCTAAATCAAAAATATGACTTTTTTTTTCGTGGAACGCACTTGAAACATTAAAAAAGGGTCATTTCGGGACGCACTCGGAAAACTCCCACTGAGAGTTGAGACCGTATTATGTTCTAATCTGGTATGTATATCTACGTGTGCAAAAAATACGGCTCGATTTGGTTAGATTATGTGTAAATTGTTACAATAGATTTGAAACCACAAGAAAGTTGGTGAATGATAAGTATAATTGTTATAGTGCTCTACAATTCACATTAATTTAATTAATGCCTTCTATACCTCATATAACTCGTTAAGTACAGTGATTGATCAATTCACCGAGTACGGAAGTTGTGTGGGACATACAGATATCAAAACTGTTCATTAAAATAATATAATAAAGATAAAAACTATATCTAAACTAAATATAAATACTACACATATTCATATTAATAAAAACTTTTAATCTTAGTAAAAAAAAAAAAAAAAAAAAAATGAGTATTTAGAAGTATCTACCGTTGAATAGGTATATTTTACAAGACACTCGATACATAGTGTAAAAGTGTACCACAATAAAAAGTTATTGATGTTTCTCGCGGCTGTATCGGAATTCTAGATACACGATACAATATTGTTCTTAAGAAATGTATGTAAAATATTCGAATAAAAAATACTGCCCAACTCTTGTAATTTTATCGATATCCACAGTTTTCTATTTTTTAATAATTTCAATATGTATTTCGGAAGAATCAATTTAACCACTTAGGCGCCAGTTAGCTGCACTCGCCACGTACGCTAATATATAATACAAGAGTACCAATGTCTCAGTATTCTATTATCCTTACAAATTTTTACTTCCCCTGTTAAATATATCTTAGGTTAAAGAAACCGAGATAAAATATATACTAAAATATTGTTACCCCCCTAAAACGACATTTTTATTGGGAAGGGGGTGAATATTGCATGTTATATTGGTCAATCGAAAAATTTTCAATAGATCTGTATAACTAGAAAACATTATGATATTTTTAATTTGTGTCAAATATTATTTTATTAAAATTTTCTACAAAATACAACAGATATTTTTTGACATTTCTTCACGTACAAACTATATAAATATGGCTATACAATATATTATATACATGTAATGAAAGAAAAAATAACTGTTCAAACGTCACAGGATCGCCATTTTCAAAAAGTGAAAAAAAAATTAATGCTAGTTGAAAAAAAAATGGTTAAAAACTTATAGCCGACCCAAACCCAACGCATATTTGTCAGTGTAAAAAAAAATAAAATATTTAATCTTCGTCTAAACGACGACAGGTGCGCTCGAATTACGACCCACGTCAGTACCATTTTAGATGAATTGCATCCCGGACTTAATTTGTGTGATTTTTTTCACATGCCGGAATGTCAGTAGTTTTAGATAATTTATATAATTTTTTTAGTATTTAATTATTTAAGTAAAACGTTTAATTAACTACATATTTTCAAGTAAATTATTAGTTACGGTTCATAATATTATTATTTGTATTGCAATGAATTTAATTTCATATTAATTTACTACATAAAGTTAACACTTGAATTTACAATTACTTTTTGCACATAAAAGCTTTCTTAGTAAAAAAACCAGGATACAACTTCTCGAAATTATTAAATGTAGCATAACAGTCATAAATAATTTATGAACTTTACATTAAATTAAGAAACCCCAAATTCAATTTAAAAAAGTGCAGTACACACTTTGACAGGGATCAGAACGAAAACAATAAACTATTTAACAGCAGGGGTTGTATAATTTATTTAAAGCACACGCAACGAGTGATAGTAAATAAGGTACGCGAACTTCGTGAATTTTGTAAATTATACATCGCGTTTATCACGATGACACAATATAAACCATACAAAAACGTGAACTGCTTATCGGAATTCGTTATAGACACTTGTTGACACTTTTTGGAGCCCTATAGAATTTTATGTTTTCCTCTTGAAATATTTTCTTGATATGCTCCGCGTGTTCGTATAGCTACCAACGGTATTACCATATCGTTACGGCTGGACATATCGTTACAAAAAACTGTCCAACGTCGACGTCGATTAGAAAACAAAGTGACCATAGTAAAAACTATAAATAATTTATTGTCTCCTCGGTTTTTCGAGCCCACAGGACACAAGTACGCGTTCGACTGGCGCGTCGTGCACGTGTGGCTGGCGTACGCGACCCTGGACGCGTTTATCATATACTACAACTACCTGGAAGCTTCCGGTTACGTCGGCGCGTCGTTCCGGAAGTGTTTCGAGGAGTCGTACTGCTTCGCGGTCATCGAGCTGGCCAACCGGAACCTGGGCCCGTTCTCGACGTTGGCGTGCGCCATGTTCTACGGGCGCCGGCACAAGGCGGCCGCGCTCGCCGGCACGGAGCGCGTGCTGGCGTTCATCCGGGAAACGGACCGGGACGCGGCCGCGCTGCTGTCGCCGGCCGCCAAGTACTACTCGGCCGCGATGATCGTCGCGTACTCGGCGCTCATATGGATGTACACGGCGGCCGTACCGGTGACCGTCATATTTTTGTACAGCGCCAACGCGCTGAGCCAGATAGCCGTCTACAGCCTGGCCACGTTCCAGTACTACGTGCTGGGCCACGGTTACGCGCGCATCGGCCAGCTGCTCGAGTCGGACGCGGCGGGCCGGGACGCGCGCCGGTCGCTGGCCGCGCGCGTGGCCCGCCTGGCCCGGGTGTCCGACGAGTTTGGCCGGCAGGCGGGCCACCTGAATCGGGCGTACTCGGCGGCCCTGTTGCTCAAGTGGCCGTACACCGTCGTCCGCATCACCATGGTCGTTTTCCGCATCATCGAGCTGTGGGCCGCCGCGCAGAGCAGCCTCCCGTTCGCCCGCGTGGCCGCCGTACTCGTCGTCGAGCACGTGGGCGAGATATTCCTGTTCCTGGTCCAACTGTCGTATTTCTGTTACGCGGGCGCCCGTCTGTCCAGTCAGGCACGTGCGTTTTTGTTCGTAGACCTTATACTCGGTGTTCGCGCAAGTTGGTATGATAATCGGACACCCCCCCCCCCCTGGTCGAGAAGTCAAGCGCCGCCGTTCAGCTGGAACGTGCAGTGTCCGGCAATATTGCGACGTTGCGCGCTCTGCTATTTTAGCTGGCCGTATACGTTGCAGGTCTTCACATTATATTAGTATGTCGTTATTGCTGCTGTTGTCAACTCCTGCCAGTTGGGAAAAAAAAGTACGTGTTTTTGCTTGAATGCACTATTTTATTGGTATTTTACCATTTTTTTGTCTATTGATGCGATTATTATCGACTCACCGACTTTTTCCACCAGTTCCGGTAAGTCAGGAGAAATCAAATCTGCAGCTCGGGATACTTGCCAGCTCTGGTCAAAGGATACAGATTTCCTATTCCTTTTTGAGGTATACCTCTAATTTTATTATTATTATCAAGGACATTATTATTATTATTATTATTTACATAATTGAGTTGTTTCTTTTCGTTAAAATAAAAGATGGCATACATTTTATAGTTTATAATATATTGTTCGTTTTCGTTTTCTTTTATTATTTTATTATTTATGTTCCCACCCCTCCCATCAGAGCACGAGTCATCGTCGTCCACGAGCCAATCGAGGTAAGTCCGGCGTTGGCGAAACACTCAGTATAAGGTCTATGGTTTTATTAAACGCCCGACGATAACGATAACGTCATGATATTTTACTCAAAATTTAGTTATTATTTTTCGTTATGATTATTACTTAACGATTTTGGAAGTTTACAGCGGAGGGAAACACTGTCAGCCGGATTGACCGTTGTTTTACGCAAGTCTTGAGGAGATCGACAATTTTTTTTTTTTACAACAATAACGTTTTAAATATAATATGCGTATACGTGGTAAACAGTCAATTGATCACACACATTTGGCCGTCGCATAGTGTAATAAAGTAGCGAAATAATGATCAGCATATTTTGTAGGTAATAAGTAATATTTTAGACAATTATAAATAATAAGACTTATGTTGTAACAATTATTGAAAATGTCATACATTTATATATATTTCACACCACGCTTTAATTATCATTTTTAATATTATGGTACTGTGTTGCTCTTTAAACCACGGATAAGAGAAGTTGTTATATATATATATATATTATGTATATGCGACCAATTTGATATATGACTAAATTTACCAAATTTTTCAAGACTTACGACTATGTTTTTCGTCTATTTTACTAACAGCCGTATACTTGAATTAAAACACTCGTTCGATTTATATTTAAAAAAATACAAAATCAAATTACTATATAAAAATTAAACCAATTTATGCAAAAAAAAAGTAAAACAAAAAACTCATAGAAGATTAATAAAAAAACACATTAATTGATTTAATAGCAGTAATGTGAAGTTGTCAACTTGTAATGCTTAAGATGATTTCTGTTGTAATAATGTTCAAAAATGTATTGTACTAGTTAGTATAATATAATAATACTAATTACATAATTGAATTATCGCCTGCAGGCTAACAGGACTGCAGCGAGCTTACAAAAATTTAAACTTCAACATAGATCTCACATGGACTTGGATCTTAAAAAAAACGGTAAAATGTTTAAATTATTGTTATTAAAATTAAAATAGAGAATAGTAATAATAATTTTATATTGTGACTTTAGATTAACATTTTTTGGATACAATTAAATGCTAGGAAAATAAATTCAACAATTGGAGGATTTTTTATTGTTAATATGGACCTAATGAAAGCTGTAAGCTTATGAAAATAACTCGAATTGAACGTTTATATATAAACATAAATTCCTTTTATAAATGGTTATGTTATAATAATAATACATTTTATTTTATAGATATGCGGTGTCATTGCAACATATTTCCTAGTACTAATTCAATTCAAAAGTCAAAAAGGAAAATCCAAACCTTTGTATCACATTTGGAATTAGATCTTAATGAAAACTTTTAAAACACAAAAACAATGTCAAAATCAAAATTAAAATAAAAAAAAAAAGCAATATCGGTACCTATTTGAAACTGAAATGTAAATTGAAAAATGAGTACCGGTATTTAAAATTGAAATCAAAATCAGAAAAAAAGAAACCAAAAATCAAAATAGGAAAAAATGATTTTAGTTTCAAATATTGTTCCTTGTTATTCTATGTATTACAATAATTAAATATATCTACAAATTATTATATATTATTATGGATCAAATGTGTAAGACGAATATGGTAATATATATTTTTATTAGAAAAAATCAACATTTTCTAATATATATATATATATTAGAATTTTCGAAATATGTATAAATAATATAT